TTTTTGGGTTTTTTTTGGTTCATGTACAGATTCTACATGAGCATAATTAAGTGTTCAGGAATTCTAGTCTTCTCAATCCTAGCCATGATTTACTATGATCCACATAGTTAAATGCCTTCACATAGCCAATAGAAATAAGTAAACATCCTTCTGGCACCCTCTGCTTTCAGTCAGGATCTGTCTTACGTCAGCAGTGATATCTCCAGTTCCAGAACCTCATCTGAATCCAGCTTGAATTCTTGGCAATCAATGTATTGCTCCTACTTTTCAATACTCCTTAGCAGGATTTCACATTTCCATGTGATATTCATGATATTGTTTGATGGGGACTTTTTTTTTTTAATACATACAAATATGAGTCCTCTTCAGTTCATTGTCCAGGTAGCTGTCTTCCAAATTTCTTGGCTTAGACTAGTGAGGATGCCCAGCGTCTGTTTGCTGAAACTCCTCGTTTGTACTCTGTCAGTTCCCACGCAGGGTTTTCTTGTTTTCCAGTGCCTTCAAGTGCAGTTTCAGCTTCTTCATTCAATACTGATGGTTCTTGATCATATGCTACTTGCTCAAGTAGCTCAGCATCTACCAGTTCTTTCTGGTACAGTGACTGTGTTCCTTTCATCATATTTTGATGTGTCCATTATTGTTCCATATTTTGCCCATAGACTCCTTCAATATTTGCACGTTGAGGCTTAAAGGTTTTTCTTCAGTTCTTTCTGCTTGAGAAATGTCAACTATCATTAAAGTATTTTGTTCTGTCTTATCTAGCTGCCCTTTGAAACCTCTTCAGCCTTTTTATTTCATTTCTTCTTTTTGCTTTGGTTTCCTCCTAGGTTCTAGAGCAAATTTTATAGTCTCTCCTGTTATCCATTATTAATAATTTTCCCCCTTTCTTTTCTTTTTTAATGACTTTTTGTTTCTTTTTTTTATGATGTCCTTGGTGTCATTCGTTAACTCACCCAGCCTTTGATCAGTATTTCTTCAGTGCATCACATCTGTTCTTGAAATGGTGCTTATGTGGTGTTCAAAGTTTCTAATGTCCTTTCTGTTTTGTTAATGCATACTGAGTTTGCAGGGAGTTCTGGTGGCCAAGTGTGTGGGTTAAGGAGTTGTGCTGCCGACTCAGAAACTCAGTTCAAAATCCACCAGCAGCTTTCATAGGGAAAAAAAGAGAGAACTCCTGTGTAATTCACAGCCTCTGAAAACCCACTGGGTGGTCAACTATGCATTGTTTCCAACTCAGCAACATATAACAACAGTGGAGTTTTCAATAGTTAGCTGTAAAGATTCATTTTTAATATCTAATATCCTAAACATACATACATAAAACTTTTGTGTGTGTATGTATGTGACTATAAAAACGTGGGCATTTTTAGTTCTGCTAGTTGGAACATTTACACAGGTGTTTAAAAATGTGCAGTGTTAAACTATTGAAAAGGATTCAAGAGTTTATCATAAAACTGAAGTCAGTAAATGGTAAAAAATTGGAAATCTATTCTTTAGAAGACCTGAACTATATAAGAGCTCAATATTTACTCTTGCTCTCCAAATAATAATCCTTTTATCTAAGGTTAGCACGATATATATTTATATAAACAGTGAGTTAACCTGCTCAGCATTAGCAGTGAATGGCAGCAAAGCAGAGATGTCTTTCAGCTGGGAGAGGAAACGAATGGCACCTTTTGCTATCACATAGGAGTGCAGCACTGTATAAGTGGATCATGAACAGAGAAATGTCAGGATTTCTCTTTTGCCTGGATATTGCTGCAGATTGCTGGAACCTGGCAGTGTGCATATCCAACCACATTTTCAGACGTAGCTGTTTTTCATGCCTTTCCCTCTGGTTACTGAGGCTGGAGAGTTAATCCTGGCTTCTCTTTTACCTTCCTCAGTATCTCTCCCTTAGTGTCAAATAAATTTCAAACATGGCAATACCCACTCTGAAATTCTTTTCTCCTAAGTTTAGGTTTTCTTACTGCTTGCCCTAGAGGTCATAATTCTCCAGTTTGGGCACCTCTCTGTTCTCCAGTTTGACATCTTAGGTCAGGAGTTTTATGGGAAGGTTAATGCTCCTTCTCCGGCAGATCATCTGTTGGATTCGAACCATGTACCTCTGGGATTGCAGTGCAGATGTACTTTTAAAATATGTCTCTTAAGACTCAATTTAATTTCTTCCAAGAAATAATTCCTGGTATTACTGGTACAGTAATTTTCCCATATTCTGAGTTTGTACTGTTACTTGTTTTACTCCCTACCACTTACTGGTCCTACATGGTTTTACACCCACTCCTCACTTATCAACAGTAGTCTTATTATCTGACATTTTGCATTTATAGCAATAGTAACAAGTCTTTCCATCCATAATGTTGTGTGACGCTAATGAATGCAAGGCAAAAGAGGCCCTGGCGATGAGTTAAGGATGGTTGTTAACTTGGGTAGGCAATGATTCTCAGTGCTTTTAGCAATTATGTAATGTTTTTGAGATTGTTTGTTTGTTTTTTAATATGGGAAGTCTCAAATAAACTTTTAAGTATTACCATTGATACATAGGGAGCTACGCTGCTAATCTAAAGCCTCACTTACGGGGTTGAATCCACCAGCTGTTCAGAGGGAGGAAAATGGGTCATCTGCTGCAGTGCAGCTTCCAGCCTGAGAAGCTCAGGGGAGGGTCCGCAAGGAGTCCATCCAGTTCACCATTTCAGAGGTGTTGAGCTTTGTGTTACAAATATATATTTCCTTGGGAGTCAAATCGGTGGTTTCAAGTCAAGCACAAAAATTTTTAGGGGAATGGAAGAAGGTTAAAGAATTAAGCCGAGCCTTGAACTTTGGGATTTCTTAATTGGAAAAATATTTTTTGAATACCCCACTATTAATAGGAGTTATCCAGTGAAAAAGAAGTTTGCTGTATTGAACTCACTGACATGGAGTTAAAACTGACTCCTTGCTGACCCTCTTTTGGCTGCTTCTGAGGCTGTAAATTGCGCTGGAGACAATAACCCATTTTCAGCCAAGGAGCCCCTGGTGGATTTAACTACCAGCGTGGAGAGGGTTGCAACCTTTGAGTTCATGTAACTCCCTTCACACTAGGTCGCATGTACTAGGCCACCAGAGTGACCCCACATTGTCTTCAACTCCCAGAGTTAAACAGCTGTTTGTCAAAAATGCACCATTGACAACAGAATTTAAAGCTACATCTGGCATGTTCAAGGGCACAAGGGCTCCCTAAAGACCCAAGCCCTCATTTGGTTTGTTTGCATCTGAAAGTTGGAGAGTAAATAAGAATGATTGAAGAAGTGATGAAGCTCTTGAACGGTAGCGTTGGCAGAGTATTGACTATCTCTTGCACTGCCAAAAGAACAAATGAATTCATGTCGAAGGAAGTGTATCCAGGGTGATCCTTAGAAGCGAGGATGCTGACACTTGCTCTCACTCATTGTCAGGAAGGACCAGAACCTTACAAAAAAGACTTCATGCTTGGAAAGGTACAGGGTTAGGACAGAGAGGAAGACCCTCAATGAGGTGGATTAACACAGTGACTGTAACAATGGGGTCGAGCAGATCAGAGATCGTGAAGATGACACAGGGCAGGGCACAGCTCGAGTCTCTTGGTCATAGGGTTATCGCAGACATAGTTGACTTGATGGGACCTAACTCATTATTGCTGTGCCTTTTCAGATGTCTTCACTCATACATTTCACTTGTTGCTGTTGAGTTGGAACTAATTTAAAAAACTGGACAAATACTGCATAGGACCATTATTGTAGAAATGGACAACTAGCAAAATACGTGTAGAGACCCATAAGGGAATAGAGGTGGGAGCAGAGGGCTAAGGATAGGTACAGATGAAACCACAGTGTTGCACAATTTAGTGGGTGGGGGGAGGGCAGGAAATGGGAAAGATCCGTGGGGGACTTGAAAAGACAGGGTAATGATGGGCATAGTCCAATGGTGATCAATTTTATAGGACATAAAGTATGGCAATGATTGTATGAAACACAATGTGAATAAAGAATAGTGTTCAACATAATGCATATGAACTTTGTAAGCACACCAATGTAAAATAAAAATTAAAAAACAAACAAAAAACCCCTTGATCCTCCATTGGGGTTTCAGCGGCTGTAAAGCTCATGAGAGAAGATTCCCCATCCTTGTCCAGCAGAGCTGCTGATGAATTTGAACTTAGCACCATTGGGTTGGCAGCACAACTCTATCCACTAGGCCACCAAAGCTCCTTTCAAATGTGTAGAATTCAAAGTTATTTAGCCAGTTTTATCACTACACTTGGGGAGGGGGGGAAAAATAGCATTTTCTTAATTCATTATGACCTAAATTATTCTACTAAGGATATTAGAAATAGAAGACTTCCACATATCCATGTAACTAATTATGAACAATTTCCTCCCTTTGGCTTTTCTGAGATTTTCTGACTTACTTGTTTCTAAACTTCTGTATAAAAGTACTGTCGATTTTTGTGTCTCATCTCTTAACTCTATCCATCATGTTTTTATGACAATAATTTTTTAACACTACTAAAGCATTTATGGCTTCATACAAATAATATATGGTTACGTGAATTGAATTTTTTATTTCTTTATACATTTATGCCTAATAAATAATAAAAATGTAGACATTAAAAATATTTTTTTATTACTCTGTCACCAAATTAGCTTTACTTTTGCATGCTGTTATTAGAGAGTACTAATAGATCACCTTTTAGAATTTAAGGACATAGTAAGTTCAGTGATTCAGAAACAGTGTATAACAAATTGTCAAAAACTTTGCATCTGCCGTTATATATGGCCATTAATTTTTTTATAATGTAAAATGTAAATGTTAATTGAGTGGTAAAAAAGTGACTTAAGACTGAATTCCTTCTTAACTAGCTTCTCTGTGTCTGTCCTGAATTTGAATACTTCATTAAAATACTGTTTTCCCCCTTGGTGTATTGGGCAAAGGATATAAAAGTAGAAATACTATACTAACATTATTGCTACGTGTTCCTACAGATGAAAATGATAATATTGAGCTAGATAATAACGAGGAGATTCCTGAAGGCTTTGTTGTAGGAGGTGGCGATGAACTTACTAACCTAGAAAATGACCTTGAAACTACTGGTAATTTCATGTTGTGACTGTCGTGTGTCCTGCTGCATGGAGAACTTGGTAGCTATGTTTACATCATTAATAACAGTAGTATAAGTTCTTTCTTTAGTTTTTTTACATCTCATCTCCTCCCAAGTCATTACGCTACATCCCGCCCACCATCAATCTTACGTTATAATTTTATTTTAGGCTAGCTATTAAAATTAGCAGTAGAATAATGAATTGTAGTCTATGTTCTCTTACGAATAAGACTCACTCTGGCATTATATGTCATGTGAGACCATTTTTAGGTATTTTGTAGTTACTCCCTTTGTACCAACCTAAATATTTTGATATGACCTGAGAAGCCATGGTTAGGAGAAACCATAAAATACTGCAGATATAGCAGGAGTGACATCCAATTCCAACACACCTCTAGAAACTCTATGAACTTCATAAATGATGATAGTTATAGAAAAAGCTTCAGACCTTTTTTTCATAGGGTTGCTATGAGTCTTGCTCGACTCAAGTGCAATCAGCACCACCACAACAACATAAACTGTAGATCAAATTATCTGACTCAGTTTAGAATTAATAGTCATTTTAGTCATATTCTTTCATAAATTTTCATGTTTTCCTTAAGTATTTAACTATCACTGCTGATAAATTAGTCTGTGCATACTAACAGCTGCTTACAATCAGCTGCTTTAGTTAGGAACACCTCATATAGACTGCTGTTAAATTAGTCTTCTATTTTATATCAGTAAATCCTATGTCAGTAGTTCACATTGCTAATTGACCATAGTAAGATACTGTTTAAAATACAAAGATACTTATTGGTAGAATAATAATTGGCAAGCATCCTGTATGTGTTGCCTTCATGCACTAACAGCTAGTAACCAGTTTACAATTTTGCACACATGTAGAATTTCAGAAATGCTTGCTGAGTTGAATCCTCCCAGGCATTAAAAATCTTGGGGGACCTTTTTAGACCTAGAGATGAGGAGACTAAGGTGCTAATACGTCTTTTTTCTGAAGGGAGAGAGAATAGATGTTGTTTTCCTTGCATGGCCCCCAGTGTTAATCCTTTTCCTGGTTTGCAGTCTCACTTTTATTTCTCTAAGAAACAATTGATCTTTCTGACCATGAAGAACACTCCCAAAGACTCTACCCACCCACCCCTCCCAAAAATATAGACACCAGCCATTCCCTTGTGTGCAAGTCCAAGAGAACACTCTTGTTTCAGGATGTTGCTAATGTGTTTACTCTAAAATTAGGACCACTCATCAGTTCTTTCTATTTCAAATTCTGTAGAACTGGGGTGTCTGACTTTTCTTTTTGAAAAGGTTTTGCTTGCTGCTTACCCACCCCATCTACTCCCGACCCCACCCTTACCACCAAACCTTCACCTGGACCAGGCAAGTCCTTCACTGCTGAGGACCTCACGGGTGCAGCCTTGAGGTCTTCATCAGTTTACGAACATAGAACACCAGAGTCATCAGTGGCCTAATGTTTTGTTGATGGTGAAGGAAGGACAAATGAGTCTTTGCTTAGGTGAGCGGAGTACTCATTTCAACAAGAGCACCTTTGGTGGGATACTTTTCATTTTAAAACTACTAGGCTTGATTCTTACCCTACTTAAAAACACTATTCCCACTTTGTGTATACCAAAGAATAAAATACATCTTAGTTTTCTGGTTTAAAGTTAACTGATATGTGTTGTTTACAACTCCCAAGCATACCGCTAAGTGTTAATATGTGCATAGAATAGGTTTTCCAGTTCACAGCTATGTTTTATTTCATTGGCAATAAGAAATGGAAATGTAAACTGGAACCTAGAGGCAATTAGAATATATTATGATTTTTATCCTTGCTTTATTTTCCCCAAAATTCCTTTTTTAATATGTATATAAGTCATAATGTTTTAATAATAAGTTGTTTCATCTTTATCTTGATTTGACCATGGTTCATCAGATATTGTTTAAGAGAGAAGCCTGGCAATATAAACTGAGCAATTTGCATGAAAGTCATGATAATAAAATTTATTAAGGGCCTTATAATTAGAAAAGTTATTAATCTTTATGAAAAATACCATTCACCAAGTGTTTGGCATGTCTTACACCATTTTATTAAAAGTTCTTTTGAATGAATTAATTTAGGTAGATTTATTGGTGTTTCCATTTGTTTCTGAAGTATTTTATTAAAAATGAATGAACTTGCTAAAAGACTTAAATAATTGCTTTTCAAAATCATAGCCACCATTTATTTCTTTTTACATTGCAACCCATACTTAAAATATCACAAAAAATTGTCATAATCTTTACTTTCTACTTCTGCTATCTAAGAAGATACTAGTACACATATACCCAGTTTCAGTGCTGGGTGTTTCTAATGTATGTACACACACAAACACTGGATTCTAACAGTGTGTGCATGATTATCTGAGGTCATGTTAGGAATTTCTTTTAATGTGGTTTTGTATTATTAATTAAGTATACTAGAATAATAGAAACTGTAAAATATAATTTACAATCAAATGTACCCCTTAATTTAAATATGTTGTTTTTAATAATTTATTGTGTGTACTCTATGAAGTACATTATGATGTACATTAATGTACATATTGGCATTGATTTCAGAAAAGCATAGTTCCTATTCGTTATAACTTCCTAGTCTTTATGGACCATGTTCACTGTGGTTTTTTAAGGAGAATGATTTGAGGAGGGGAGAATGCTGATATACACTGAGAGAATTCCGCATGCGTTGGTCTGACATGCTCTTACTGTATGTTCTTTGCTAATGTCCTTTTCTTTCTTTTAAAAATATACTATTATTTTTATGATGTTACTAAAAGTTATTAGCCTACACACAGCGAAAGGCATCCCACTCAGTTATTCATGGTATTTGCATATTTAACAGAACAAAACACTAAGATGGTGGACTTGAAGATGAAGAAACTCCTAGAAGCTCCGCCACAGGTGGCAGATTCATTCTCCACTGCTGCCCAGAGAGCTTTAGCTGAGAGCTCAGAGCAAGACGTTAAGGTAACTCTTACTTTACTTGGTGTCCATGGAGTCTCGCTTCCACAGGTACTGTATAATCCAAATTGTCCACATAAAGGTGCCAACTTTTGTATTAAGTGCCAAGTAAACTAGACATTGAATATGTAAGTCTGTTTACAGACTAGCTTTCTGAGAAACTGCCCCTTTAAATTGATAAAATTGACATTCCAGATAAAACTGGAAAGTGTCACTTAGAAATTACTTTTCACTTGTTATCTGTAAGTATATTTTGCAAAGAAAATTCTTGTTCAGAGAACTCCAGTATTTTTAGATCATCCTCGACCTCCTCTCAGCTTTGATGAACTAGAACTTGGGCTATTTATCAGGATTACTATCCTTGAGGTTGGTGGTGTGACAGAAAATGTATGTGTAAGGTGATCTGTACCATGGTCCATTATGTCTCGTGTAGGACTTTAGACAAGTTCCCTGTTATACTAATATTAGTAGTTGTATCCTTTTTACTGTTTGGAATATCTCCACCCAAGCCTTCCTCCATTTCCCTTGCATTTTATCATCCCTATTTCTCTGGCTTTAGGGCACTTCCAGTGCTGTATAACTTTTCACCCACCTGCGGACTGTGGGGGCTGCCCTGCTGACTGAAAGGATTTCCTTCCTCTGACACAGAGCTGCTTTGAAGTCCCAAAACAATGACTTTCATTGCTTTTCCCTCATACTGTCGGTTTCTATAAATTGGTGATGAAAGTGTGTGGCTGCACCAGAGGACTTTTGGTCTCTGTCTTTGAACAAAGAAAGCCTGGATCAGGTCTGATTTTTTGCGTTCAATTTAGCTTTCTGCAGTGGATTTAATGCGGAATGAAGCTGGCCTACGAATAATACAATGGATTGAAAAGGCTAACTGAATTAGTGGGTTTAGAAGAATACATTTGTAAAGTGGCAGAAGTTCCTAGTCATAAAAAGGTTTCTTAAGATGGGATTTGCTGGCTAATCGCACTGATATTTAACATGTTGCCAGACCTAAGAAAATTTAGCAGTGTTTGTTTATCTTGGTAAAGACTTGAGTTTTAGACTGTTGGACAGTTGTAGTAATGACACTATAGAATTTACATTTTAAATAAATAAATGGTAGCCAAAAGTGCTTCCTACACTAGCTACATAGCTATTGTGTTAATGGTAAATAGATAACTTTTTGGAAAACATTATATACAAGTATTTTTATCTGTATGCTGAAATTGTTTCAATTTGGTGAAACTCTTTTTGCCTTCTACAATATACCAATTTTTAAAGTTCTTTCAACAAAAGGTGTGTCTTAAACTGCTTATGTTTGCATGGACCTTTTTATTTAAAATTTTTTCAATGATGCTTATAAAGAACATATAGAGAGTCCATCTGTTTTCTCAAAGCTTTCAGCACTGGTTTGGGTTCTTACTCTTTTTTTTTTGTTTTTTTTTAAATAAAATGCAGTTTACACATTTATAAATGAGGCATTCTGTGTTTGTGGCAAAGGATAAACTGTTACCTTCCCTGGAGGATTGTGTATCCCAGGCCTCCTTGAGGCTAGAGAATAGGCCAGTGGAGGACTCCCTCATTACTGATTGTCTCAATGCACAGGAAGGGCAAAGTCTTGGTAGCTTTTGATAACCAGTTTCAGCATTCAGCAGGCTTAGCTATTAGTCATGCATCTTAGCCTTTCCCTATTTACTTTCAAAACACTTAATAAAAATAATAAAAGATTAGGTATAAAATGAAATATTTGTTTGGTACACAGCGCCTCGGTATCTGCAGCTCCCACACACTGCAGTGGTTCAGTCTTCTGGGATATTTCTTGTTGATAGAACCATTTGAATTTGTTACCAGTATTAACATAGGAAGCTCTGGAAAAGATAATTGTCGTTTCCTTAGCAGTAAAGGGCTTACTTACAAATCTGGCTTTGGAAAGTTATAGCTGATGAAATACAGTGTGGTGGGGTAGTATTATAATCCTACCTTTTAGCCTTCATCCAGCATTAGTAGTTTATCTCAATGGGCATAAAATTAGAAACTAGTTCGTCTTGTCATACAAGTCTGTGGGACTATACGGTGCGATAGGGCAGAATAGTGGGGGAAGAGACGGAGGCTTTTAAATGATACATATCATTGATGGCATACATAAAGGTTCACAGGGGTAATGAATCAAAGTGACTGAGAGCGATCCTCCATTGAAACCATGGTCCCTCAAAGTTTAAGATTATAAGCCCCAGAAGTTGTAGTTGAATTCTCCAGAATGCTTTCAAATCTTTTTCTCTCCAAAAGTTTCTACCCCAGAAAGTCAGCATTACCTTAAATCAGGGAAAGTTGTCATCATGTCTCATTTCATGTTTGTAGGACCAGGCCACACTTAACCATGCGCTGTTTTACTTCCAGAATGGCGCGGAGGATCTCCGGGTTGAGCGATTACCAAAAGCAGCTGAACGTTTTAGAAATCCTGTTGTGTTCAGCAAAGATTCTACCGTCAGGAAAACCCAGCTTCAGTCTTTTAGTCAATATGTTGAGGCTAGACCAGGTAGGAACACTTTTTTAAAAGATGTTTTCCCATCTTATGATTTAATAGCATTTAATTATATATGTGTCTGTGTGGAAAAGCTGATACTGTAAAATCCACATTTCAATACACAAATATCAAGCTTTATAATAATTTTACATGTCTTTCCCCTTTTTTTAAGAGATGAAAAGGCAGAGATCAATACAGGAAGATACAAAGAAAGGAAATGAGGAGAAGACCGTGATAACGGAAGCTCAGAGGAAGCCATCAGAAGATGAAGTACTTAATGTATATTAATTTTTTGTGTGGTTTCATGATTGCTGATAATTCCAAACTGTATGTGGAAATAGTGCCTTTATTTGTTAAAATGAGATGTTAGGTTTTTTCAAGATGTCAATCTCCAGCGCATTCAAAGCAGAGTGAGAGGGGTGTACTGTTGAATTAGTCTGCAGTATGGTGATAATTGTCAGATTAAAAAAAAAAATGAATTTTTCAGAGCTCCACAGCCCCAGCTTTCTCGAGACATTTCCATCAGGGCACTTCCCATAAAGAGATTCCAGTATTGATCTACCGGGAGGATTTTAATTATTACAATAGCAGATACCGCAGAGCTCCAGTTAGAGGGAAAAGTCACATGAGACCCTGCTAGAATTTCTCAGCCAACCCATTTTGTTGGCTTGGGTTAATGGGTGTTCAACCTTTCCATTATCCAGATCAGCTGTGAATTACTAGCTGAATGATGTTTGCATTAATATAATATATATGGTAATTTCTTCACTTAATTAACGGGGAGGTTCAGCTCAGTAGGGGTATGGGCTGATCATGTGTAAAATTGATTTGTGAGGGAAATATTTGATAGACCGCAGGGGGAAAGCTGCTTTTGATGGACAGCTGCGGGACAGAAGCAGGAAGAACAAGTTTCAACTTGAATTTTTGTCTGGAAGCATCTCTCTCTTGAATGTTGCTACCTTTTTTAAAAATTATTATTATTACCTACACTTTGTATAAATATTTTTTCTTGTTTTGTTCTGTTAAAATGGCCACCACTGAATATTTAAATCCTTTCAAATGCACTCAGGGGTGCCAACTACCTTTTGGCATTTCTTATTTAAGTTGTTCACTTTGGAAGACCTGGAAAGGTCTTAACAGAAGGTATACACACCTCACTGGTGTGTCCCAGTGAAGTGTTGGGAACACCTTATACATTACAGGATACTTGAACATACTGGATACTCAGGCTGAAGAAGGCTGATTCAGAAATTTAGTGATATTTTTAGATGAAGTAATAAGTTAAAGTAACAAAGTTTGTGTGTACACTCCGCTCCACTTTCTTTTCCATCTTTTGTACTCATGCTGTTTTTGCAAGGTCTCATGTGTGTTTTATTTTTTCTGAATACAAATGAGAAAAGGAAAAGCCCCCTTAAAAGAAAGGTTTCGTTATTTGGCAAATAAGTACGAAAAGTATTCACCAAATGGCTTCAGATTTTAAAGATACTATCAGTGTGTATTCTATTGTATATTTTTCCCCATTATGTTTTAATATTTAGAAAGAAGATAATCTATTTTGTAAGACATTGGAAAATACAGTGACTTCTTTTATCAGGCCATCCCGAGAAATAAGCAATGTTATAATTTCTTGTTTCAACTTTAAGTCTGTTAATTTCAAGACAAATTGAGTTCCTATGTAAATAGAAGCCATGTGACATTTCCAAATGTGAATAAGTTGTAGATTTTGTTAGATACCTGTCTATTGATCATGAGAATTCCAAAATATGTTTAGAACCAACATATTTCCTAAACATGTCTGAGAGGGCAGTGTTACTCTACATAGGTAAAGAATTTGATAGAAGAATGTGCGCACTTAGGGATCTGATTAACTGATGGTGGCAGTGGTAATGGTGAGAGTAATCCCCATTGTTTTATCAATATTTTCCCCAGTTTGATCTCTCAGCCTACAAATGTCTTAAGGTAAATAGATGTTCCAAATGGAGCTGTCTTCCCTCCACTTTTATGCCTAGATCATAAACAGTAATTCTCCCTTAAATTTATCACAATGAAAATTAGGTCTCTCTTGACACTTTATAATAGAGGTGCTACTACAAAGAAAATGACTAAGATCACTTTTTTAATTTTTTTTCTAACTTCAGCTAGTTATGAAGAGTAAACTTTCAAATTAGAATTTAGTTAAATGAAAGATTAACCAAACCAGTATACAAATTATGTAGCTTTTACATGGTCAGGTTTGAAACCACCTGTCAGGTTAGAATTCACAGCTATGATAATTAGTAATACATTGATAGAATAACATATTAAAGACAGAGCCAGCCGGAGGGAGAACTGGAGCTATCACCAACTTCCCTCTTATCGTTTGTGTATTTTTAAAATGTTCACTCTTTGGGAGAACAAATCAGTATTGTGACTTAATTTTTCAGGATGGTTTTACTTTGAGTAAAATTCCTTGTTTCATATTTTTTATTAGGTGCTATTAGTGTTTGTTTTGACAATCACCAATCCTTATGAATGCTTAAATAATTGATTTAATGCTAAGAATAATTATTTTTAAACTTATTGTTAACTTTTAAAATCTGGCTAATCTGGATATGACGTTACAAACAGCATTCTAAAGAGATGAAATTTGTCTCTCTTTACAAAAGTACAGAATGCATAGGTAAAACTGTTGAATCAGGATGGCTTTTGGGAACTAGAGGTGAGACTTAGTTCTCTAGGTAAAGTGCTTTACCAAGTGTTTGTAGAAAGGAGAAATGCAACTTACAAGTGATTTTTTTTTCTCCCCTTCCTGTTTGTTCTCGTTAACAGAAAGGGTTCAAAGACACCAGTCAGTATGTTGTAGGAGAATTGGCAGCACTAGAGAGTGAACAGAAGCAAATTGACACGCGCGCCGCGCTGGTGGAGAAGCGCCTCCGCTATCTCATGGACACAGGTACGGGGCCCAATTACACTGTAAACTGTTTTGGCAAATTGAGCGTTCACAAACTCTTATAGAGTTTTGGAAGTGTGAATCTTTGAAGCCTGAATGTTCAGCAAAACTGCCTTGAAAATAAAAAGGTTGCGATTTGCAGCCACCTCTCTGGGCCCTGGTGATAAGAGAGCCTTCATGGGAAGCGATAAGTCGCCCTGATACCGCGTGAGCCAGCACTATTGAACAGTGTGCTCAGCCATGCAGAGTTGGAATACACATCTGTGCCTCATTGATATGCCACTGCTTAAAAAAAAAAAAAAAAGGAAGATCTTCACTGTTCTACTGATTCATTGGGGGGAAAAAAAAGATTTGGCCAGCTAAAGCCGTGTAGTGCTTGAAACAGAGGCTGTGCGTGGGGGCGGCTCCCTGGACGAGATCGCTGAAATTTGAGAATACGATCAGGTTACTGATGCTCCACCATTTTTCCCCCCTTCTCTTTACGAGAACAGGTTTTCAAAAGTCTCTAATACATTGTATTGCAATTGCATTTGAGAGGATTAAGTTATATAGCAAGATTTCGAAAAATGGGTTAGAATAACAAGTTAGCTCCTAACCAGAGGATGGATTGGCCTTTAATGCTCATTGCTGGTGGTGATTGAACCGATCTAAACATACAAATGCTATTGGATAAGAACAGTGTATGGGTTTGTGTGTGTGTGCGTGTGTGTATATATATAGATATATATAAAAAGTATTTTTTTCCTTTAAAAATACTGTTTTGTGAAAATGACAACTTTATGCCAAATTGAAAAGTAAGGTATATTATGAATAAAGGTGGGGGGAAAAGAACGTGGTAGAAAATCCATGTTTGAGTCAGTCGCTTTCATTTTATGATATTCTAATGGAGTGCAGGTTGGTAAGCTTTGTGGAACTTTTTCTCTTCTCTTTATAAAAAAGAAGAAGAGAATCTTGTGGCCACGTGACTCAGGAATTGCATTATTAAACCAAAGGCAGGTGGTTCAAATCTGTCGGAGTTTGAATCCATCCAACTCTGAGGGAGAAAGATGGGCACTCTCTTCCCATGCTATTCACAACCTCTGAAAACCCACTAAAAGGTCACAAGTGGGTCCGTTCTGACTCAACAGCAATGAAGAGTTTTTGGAATTTTTCCTAAGAGTAAGCACTGGTGGCCTAGTGGCAAGAAGCTGTGCTGCAATCTCTGTGGCATGTGGTTCGAATTCTCTAGTGCTCCGTGGGAGAAGGATGAGCATTGCAGTTAACTGCCTCTGAAAATGCACTGGGGGTGGGGGGTCAGCTATGGGTCGGTTCCAACTCAACAACAACAACAAGCATCTATAAGAAACGCTTGAAAATGTATTCACTAGTGAAATTAACAGATAATAGAACAGGAAAGGACCTTGGGCTTTCTTTATGTTTCAAACTGCCTTGTGGAGAATTCTGAAGCTTCTTCAGAGACTCCTTGGGGGTAGCTCAGACAAGAAAGAGGGAACAGAGAAGAGAGAGACCCCTGGAATCCTTTCTTTCACCTCAGGCAGAGCGGCTCTGAATTTATTATTTACGGTATTTATTACTATCATTATTCCCTACAATAGATCCTTCTTAAGAAGAGTTCATTTGAAGAAAAGATTCTTCTGTTTACAATGTAAAACAAAATTTACCTAACTCTTTGTTTATATAGGTAAGGAAACAGAGGTACAGGATGTGCTTAAAGTCACGCCTGTCAGTGAGTGGCAGGACTAGACTAGAATTCACGGCATCTGCCCCTATCATTTGAAAGCCTTTTTAGCACATCATAACCTCATGCATTCCTCTAACAAGTTAGGTGTGTGTTCAGTCTTAGGCTCTGCATTTATGTGGACTTAACAAGTGTCCAAAACCAACATATCATTTCACATTGACTTATTCCTGTGAAAGTATTAGATCTATTAACAAATGTAAATACTAAATTTCTCGCAGAGAGTATAGAAAAATCAGGTGCAGGAATTCAACCTTAGTTATCTGAAGTAACTTTGAAAAAGAACATGCATTTCTATTCCTCTTATTCTCAACAAACCATAGCGTAATGTAGTTGTTGGTGTTGTGTCCTGTTGAGTTGGAGCCAACTCCTAGCTGACGCTCCGGTGGGTTTTCAGAGACTGTAAATCACTTGAGAGGAGCTTGCCCATCTTTCTGCTGTGGAGCAACTGGTGGATTCAAACAGGGTGCCTTTTGGTTGGCAGCACCACTCCATTCCACTGGGCCACCACACTCCCTCATAAAGGAATCGGTGCTGTTACTTATAGTTGTTGCTAGTTGCTCTCGCACCACTTCTGACTCCTCATAGACCCTGTGTGGCCAAGTAGAACTTCTGCATAGATGTTTCAGAGCCGTGATCATCCAGAAGCTAAGCACCAGGCCTGCCTTGCAGGGACCTCAAGGTGAGCTCAGCTAACCACCCTTCCAGCTACTAGTCTCATATGTAGCTATTTCCATTATATTCCGAGTAAAGATAATGAGTCACCAAGAAAAGGGCAGTGTCTACCATGTTATTGGAAAAGGTAGGGAAGTACTTAATTATATTTTACAGTTTTTTTCCTTGACATGTCTTAAAGGCACATATTCTTTTCTTTTTCTCATTGATTATTTTCAACACAGCATTTTCCCTAAGTGTGTGGAATAAATTAGAACAGTAAAGCTAAACCTAGAAACTTTACTGACTTTTCTTCTTACCAGAGCTTGATTTACAGGGAGTTCTAACAAAAAATGACTCATGTTCTCTTTCTCTACTTCCATTACCACTGAAGTTATAAAGTGACTCCATGTCAACTATCAGCTCCATGTAGAGCTAGTGGGGCCTAAGTGTAAGAATCTGTGCTGTAATTGCAAAGGCACACAGTTCAAATTCACCAGCTGCTCTACAGAAGGATGAGCAATCTCCTCCAGTGTGATTACTGCCTCTGAAAACTTGCTAGAGATTTAGCTGTGGGTTGGTTACAACTCAGTGGCACACAGCAACAGCCATGCAGGCTAGTTAGAGATCATTTCTAACTGAAATGATCATAGCTACAGACCAATTTTGGCATCCCATTGAGGTTTTCTGTTCCTTACCGTACAGGACAGAATCTTATCTGTACTGAATCTGCCCTACTCCAGCTTCAGACCAGAGCTGACTGAATAAGGATGAGAGAAAGAATTGATGCCTTTGATTTGTGGTGTTGGAGAACATTCCATGGATGGCCAAGAAAACAGATAGATATGTCTTGGAGAGGGTGCAGCCAGAGTGCTCTTTGGAGGAAAGAATGATGAGGCTTTGCTTCATATACTTTGGACATATTGCTAGGAGGTGTTATTCCTTAGAGAGGGATGTGACATTCGGAAAGGTGGAGGGTCGGGGAAGGAGAGGAAGACCCTCAACCAGGTGGACTGACGAGATGATTCCTGCTTTTGCGTGTCAGGAAGTGTGAGGATGGTGCAGGACAGGACTAGGTTCAAGTCTTTTGTTCATAGGGTCGCTATGAGTCGTACTCAACTTGATAGCACCTAACAACAACAGCAACAACAACAGAAGTCACCCTAGACTGTAGAAAGCCATATCCTGTCCAAATTCTGTTTCCTGAGTTCCCAAAACCAGAGATAGAAAAAAGGAAAAGAATCTGTTTATCCTTTGTCCTGTTTCCCCCCCAGCACAGCCTAACCTTTCATTTATTATGATGTTGTTGGGTTCTGCCAAGTCAGAACCAACCTGTAGAGAACCATGCTGTAGGTTTTCAAAGGCCATAAGTTGCATGAGCATTGACTGCCCACCTTTCTCCTGGAGAACAGCTAGTGGGTTCAAATTGCATACCTTTGCATTGGCGGCATGACTCCTCAACACTAGGCCCCCGGAGCTCCCTCTTATTATAGTATTTAATGCCTTTTCTGGAATATATTAATTTTTTTTAGTGTTGTTAAGTGCCATTGAGTTGTAGATGACTCATATCGACCCTATTAACAAAAGACCTGAACGCTTGTATAACTTTAGTCGTTTCTCCAAGTTCAGAGTTTCTGGAGACAAGCCATTTCGGAACTGGATGCCACTCCTGCTTCCAAGCTTGTTTCAATCGGGAAGCTTCACCAAACACTGTCCACCATGGGTAACCATTATCACATTTGGCACATCAATGTCACAGTGTTCAGCATCACAGCAACCACGAGTTACCTCTGTAGAGCAAATGGATAGACCAGTGTTATACCACTTAGAAGTATGTTTGACAAAAAACAGTTAAAACCAGGCCTGAGGGCCGGAGATGGTTCTGTACAACTCAATGGCACTTAACAACGGCAACAAAGTAGAGAGAGCTCTGTTGGCCCAGTGGATAGACAGTGATGCTACCAAACCAAAGTTAGGTGATTTTAATCTACAACAGATGCTGAACACTGTGACACTGATGTGTCAAATGTGATAATGATTACCCATGGTGGACAGTGTTTGGTGGAGCTCCCCCATTAAAACAAGGTTGGAAGCAGGAGTGACTTCCATTTCTGAAATAGCTTGCCTCGGGAAGTTCTATGAACTTGGGAAAATGACAAAAGTTATACAAGTGTTAAGGTTTTTTGTGTACTTTTTTTAAAATCTCATACTAGTCTTAGAGTTCTCTAAATGAATAAAATAAGCTCTCATTGGAGAAACAACAAAGTCTGTACGATGTTGCGATGTTAACTAGAAGCCTGCACGTCTCCAAAAGTTCTAGTCCACCAGTGGGTCTGAGGGGGAAAATGGGTGATCTCCCCCGATTAAGATTTGGAGCTTCAGAAATGCCATGGAGGGTTTTGATGAGTCAGAATGACAATCTGTGAGAGTGTAATTATTAATAAAATACAAAGAGCAGTTGCTTATTTGGGCCTCAGCAGATGGAATAGATATGAATGAAATAGTTTCATTGGTGAGAATACAGCCCAGGGCCAACTATTTACAGACCATCAAGTACTCATATGTAAGTTAAGTATACCCAGAATATAGAGACCCTCTAGATTGGAATACA